CCGGGGGTCTGGGTAGGTCTGCAGGTTCCTCGAATATACAGTCAAACAGCTGTCGCAGTAATAGTCATTCTATCCAAGGGTAAAAGGAGGGACCCTTAATAAGGACCCCTAGGTATATACCCTTAATATAGCTTTGATATACCCATCATATAGCCCATTATAGGGTAGGGGTCCCCATTAAGGGTCCCTCCTTTTCCCCTTTGATTCTAGAACCCCCAGTCTCTTTCCTAAGCCCTCGACTTCTTGGCATTGATGTTACTACGACGGTGTGGTTCTTAGTACGGAATGGGGGAATGGATCCCTTATCTAATCCATCTAATCCACAATAATTGTCTCCATAATCCATCCCTGCATTCCCTACTAAGAACCAGACAGATAAGACCTACACAGCAAGCTCCTACACAGGGATGAAGTTGACGGCTGCATAGATCATGTCGCCACACCTGCAGCTTGTCGTCTCAGTAGTGTCAGAAGCGTGGTCTGCCGGGTCACGCTGGTAACAGAGACTACCATGGAGTTGACTGCAGAGCGCGCAGTTGGTGGCAGGGTCAACCAAACTCCTGAGGAACATGCTGAGTGGTGCTGCAAGACCGGGCAGGTGTTGTGCCGGCAGTGCTCAACCTGCAGAGACATCCTGGAAATACCAGCCCAGCCAATGCTTGGACCACAGCACTTCGCATGTTTACAGCACTGGCCCATGTAAGGCCCCTATATTATCTCGTTTTGGGGCCAGGAGTTCACGCCGACGACTGGAGCGCACATGCCATAAGCCCCTCACCCTTAACCCTAAAACCCGAAACCCTGAATCCCTAAAACCCTGGCAACCTAAAATCTTAAAGCCTAAATCCTACAACTGTAAACCCAAAACCCCCGGCGCCCTGAGCCTTGCAACCCTGAAATGACGAGAAGCCCCGACGCTGGATCAAGGCATTCCGGAGAGGTACAAAGTCGAACTCCACAAGGACGGTTAAGGGTTCAGGGTTTAGGGACTGTTCTTCCTTGCGGGCTCCCTTAAGGACTCCTTTATGCAGGGTTGCATAAGAGTGGGTTTGGGGTCGAGGGTTTGGGGCTGAGGGTTTGGAGCTTAACATCTGTGCGGGTTTAGGGTATTTAGTCCTTGAGGCAATAAGGGTTTAGGGCTTGGATTCCCAGGGCAGCTTGGAGTTTTGCAGAAGTTGACAGCCCTGTGGTTGATGGTAGCCTGCGCATTTACAGTTATGCCTTAGGTTCCGTATGTAAATGCCCGATCACATCCCCCCGGTAACAAGTCTTCTAATCATCAAGGCTCCTACGGTTGATGATATAAATCCTGCATTACCCATGAAAAGGAATATACCATAATTCCCGTAGCTTAAGGTCCTTAAGGTAATGCAGGATTTGTATCATCAACCGTATGGCAGACTTCAGGATCTCGGACCTGAAGGTTCCGGGATGAAGTGTCGGGTTGCCGTGCAGTACCCTAAGGTCCAAAGTAGTTCCTTTTTGTGGTTCATATTTAGAATCCTACAAGGTAATCCCAAAAAGGAACTAGTATGGGGCAAACCCAGAACTTGAGATAGTGTAGAGTCAGTGTAGAGTTACGGCTTGAGTTTTTAGCTAGGGTTTCGGGTCTCTGGCAAGTCTATGGTTTGCGGTTTCGCGTTGGTTTGACATGGTTGAGCAGGTGGAGTTCGGTTCAAAGATAGACTCAAAGGCTCCAGCCCAGGGCCAAAAAAGCTCGTAATCTGGGGGCTTAAATACTTACCAATACAGGTTTGGGGTGCTCCTTCGTTATGTTATCCAAAAACGGAGCTCAATCCTGTTGTTCTAATTATGAAGGCGGCTACGTTATGTTGAAAACCCTGAGACCGAAACACAGCCATGCAGAGGAGATGTTCATGCACGCGTTGGCGCAAGCTGCTGGGGCTAACTTACGCTCAGCAAAACAACTAGCAATGCTAGAGCTGTATTATGCCCTAATTGGGAATTTCTAGCCGTATGTCGTGCTTCTGTTGGCAGTGTTTTGGTCGAGGCGGTTCACTTCTGGAACAGCAGCGCGTGCAGCCACAGAAGTGACGGTTGAATGGTAACGATGAGACTGTAGTGAGGCTCGAGACTGCCTATGGACATAGTCATTAGAGTAGGGTTCATTTAAAGGGATCTATAAGGGCTGGGGCGTAATCGTATATAATGGGCTTATTCAGGCCCAGACTGTCTATGGACAGAGTCCGAGGGAACGCTAGCGACACGAGTGACTGAGTGAGAGTAAAGATTGTTTGCATTTGTATACTGCAGTGTACATCTTCCGCTTAAGTTACTGTGAACGATTCCCTGGCCTCTCATGCTCTTTCAGACAGTATCTGATCCTTCAGCTGGCTTCTCAAGATATCCTCAACTGTCATTAGTTTCCGTGCAGTCCGAGGTATCGGGGTATCAGCGCAACTGGCATCGCAACCGTTCCCAAAGGCCAAATCCAAAGCTCTCTAAGATGCCTCATTTTGTGGGCAAGCCCAACCTGAACCCCCAAAAATTCGACGACTCGTAATCCATAATTGCTCTTGCCAGCCGGCTACCTTAACCCCAAAGCCGCGGTAAACGGCAACTTGCGCAAACGCACATAGTAGTTCCTTTTTGGGATTGCCTTCTATTTTATCTAAATATGAACCCAAGATCTTCAGGGTGGGCTTCTGCCAACCCATAGAACCCAATACCCCTTAAGTAAGAAATAGACCTTGAATAATAGGGGGCTTAATAGCTTAATATTTCAATTTAAGGCATATTCCTTAATTAAGGGGTATTGGGAACTGGGAATCCAGACTCTCCACCCGTCCCAGGCAAACATTTGGCCACGGTGGATCCAGCGCGAGGAGACCCTCCTAACGCCAGAACACGTCGGCCCTGCAAATCAAGAGCACTAGAACCAGTGCTCCGCAATATAGCAGCGGAATAGCTACGTTTCCTGCACCTTGTCCTACGATAGTTTAACCCCCCAACCCTATTCCAATTATCGAGGAGCCTACCCATAGAAGCCCTAGGCCCTAGGCCCTAAATCCTACATCCTAACGATCAATCTCAAGCCATAACCGCCCTAACATTTAACCCGCAAAGCCGCAACCCTGAACCCCAAACACCCTAAATCCTGAACCCATAACTCTTAACACCCAAAACACAAAACCCTAAAACCCCAAAATCCTTAAACCCCTACACCCTAAACCCTAATAGACCCCAAAACTCTAAATCCTAAACCCTAAAGCCCTCAACCCTAAACCCTAATCAAGGAGCCCTACTTCTACCCCCTCAGCTCTATGGATCCCTTTAAAGGACCCCTAGGTAGATCCTCTCAAGGAGCCCTAGGAATCCTATTGGCGGCAACCCAGACTCATGGAGCCCTGAACCCTAAAACCCTCTAGATCCCTTTGAAAGAACCCTATAAGCCCCTACTTGGGGGGTCGGGGGACTTAGTAAGTAGTTAGTAAGTAGACTTATAAGTACCCTAAAAGGGACCCTAATTGGGGTTATGGTACTTGTAAGTTCCTAAAATAACGAGTTACTAAGTCTCCCGACCCTCCAAGTAAGCCCCTATAGATCCCCTAACACGGCAACCCAAAGTCAAGGAGCCCTACTTCTACAGCAGCGTCTGTCATCAGACAATGAGGGACCCATGGCCTGGTCTGGTGGCGGGGTTTAGAGGTTTTGGGTTTTAAGGTTTAGGGTTTGGGTATAGTTATGGTTTTGAGGTTTTGGGTTTTAAGGTTTAGGGTTTGGGTATAGTTATGGTTTTGAGGTTTTGGGTATAGGGTTTAGGGTTTGGGTATAGTTACGGTTTGGGGTTTTGAGGTTTTGGGTATAGGTCTTAGGGTGTGGATATCATGATGGTTTAGAGTTTAGAAGTTTAGGGTGTAGGGTTTGGACAGAAATATGGTTAAAGGTGTTGGGCTTTGTTTTTGAGTTTAAGGTTTGGATATAATTATGGCTTAGAGTTTAGAGGTTTGGGGTTTAAGGTTTAGGGTTTGGATATAGTTAGTGTCAGTGGGTTAGGGTCGAGGGTTTGTATTTACTTACGGTTTAGGGGTTAGTTTGGATATAATTTTGGTCTGGGGTTTAGAGGTCTAGGGTTCGGATGCAATTATGGTGTAGGGTTTACGGGTTTACTGTGGGCTTGAGATGTAGCGCCACAGTGCTTATGGTTTGGGGCTCTATAGGGTGCAGAAGTCTCCGGGTGGTGGGCTTTGGGTTGCGGCCGGTATCGGGAAGTCTTGCCCGGACCATGTGGGAGTTTCCGAAAATAGAGGACCCTCATATAGTACCCTAAATAATAGGATCCTTGTAATAAGGACCCCAAAACGGAAACTCTATACACCCTTATAGAGCCCTTTGAAGGAACTCTTATAGTACCCTTATAAACCTTTTAAAGGAATCCTAAGGTACCCCTGATTTCGGAAACTCCCATGTGGTGAGCTGGGGTGTCGAGGACCATCGCTTTGACCTTGCTTAGGGCTTGTGTTTAGATCTCAAGCTCCCTGTAAGGCCAAAGGCTCCATGTGCCCATGTAGCAGGTACTTAGGCCTTAAAGGGGTCCCATATAGGTACTTTAAGGGCTAAGTACCTACTATATGGGTACATGGAGCCTTTGGGTGAGGCCAAAGAACCTTCACAAAACCAGAAACCAAGGTGGTAGGATCAAACAAGGTTTCCTACTGCTGCTAAAGCCTTCTATATGCACCCCTCATGAAGCCCTTCAGGAGACCCTTATAGAAGCACAGATAAGCCGGTATCGACAACTTGCGATTAGCAGCCAAACGGACGAAGGAGTATGCATGCAGAGCCGGACAAGATGTATATCTTCCACGGACCTCGTGCTGCATCGTCTATGCGTTGCAGACAGGCATCGGGTCCTAGATAGCTACATCGATATCGGGATTTGAGTTGATGACTCTCTCTGCAGAAGAACAGTTTGCGGGATGACTCGACAGAGCTGCGTGGAAGTTTTGGCTGTACTTCGCAGAACTTGATCGTTGTGGCAGTGCATGGATCGGCGATATTGAAGACACAGTGCTGCAGTTAGCATCGACGGATTCTTACGGGCCGAGTGCTCCACTGCATTACTTACTTTGTAGCTCTATGAGTTATACGAGTTATACGCCGTATATCGCTTGTAATGCAATACTGGTATATATATATATATATATATATATATATATATTTGCTGAAGCTATCAAACCGGGATTGCAGATGTAGTGGGGCTTCGATGCAGCTCTTCGCGCTTTCCACAATTTGCTTCTTGCCTCAAGCCCCAAGCCACACCCCTACGAATCCCTGATAATCCCTGTGCCATATGCAAGAAACTCCGTACTTGACCCTGGAGCATTAAAAGCAACCATGCCCTAAGGCCCCAAAGTAGTTACTTTTTGGTGTTAATGTTTAGAATCCTGCAAGGTACTCCCAAAAAGGAACTACTATGGGGCCTTAGAGTAAATCACTGAAGCCCGAACCCTCAGAACCCATAGGCTGCATGGAGTTCGTGGACGATGACGTGAAAACCAAGCCTGTCGAGTGCGAGCCAGACACGGTGACATCGGTCGATGTTGGGATCATGTTTTGTTTTATATTGACATGACAAGTCAGAGGATTTTTTGATTCGGGGCATTCGGTATGGGATTCTGTTTAGGTTTTGTGGATTGGGGGGTCACAGTGTTTCGAGTCATGGGGGTTTAGTGTTATTCCGGGCTCGTTGCGTTTTTATGGGTGGAGGCTTGGGTTTCGTTTCAGTTTTCCCCTAAACCCTAAACCCTAGATCCTTTGACTCAGGTGATGGCGGTGATTTGCCTGCCGAGCCTCTGGACCGTCGCTTTGTCGAAACCATCAGCTTTGTTAGAAATGTCGTACTGCCACAGCCGCTGCCTTTACTTCTGCTGCTACTACTACGGTCTCTCCTCCTACTCCTACTCCTCCGCCTGCGCCCGCACCTGCGCCTACGCCTACGCCTACGCCTACTCCTGCTACTGATGCGCCTTCTACCACTCCTCCTCCTCCTCCTCCTCCTCCTCCTCCTCCTGCTCCTCGGTCTCCTCCTCCTCCTCCTCCTCCTCCTCCCCTCCTCCTGCAACTGCCACTATTGCAACGACGACCACCACCGCAACAACAACCACTGCTACCAACATCATCACCGCGAGCTACTTTCAAAGGTTGCTTGAAGCAGGAAAGACCGCCAGAATATCATGCATCGGCAGTGTAATTCGTCCTCGGGGTTTAGTTAGTGGTGAACTGGAAGGTTTAGGAGTGTGGGTTGGGAACAGATTCCCTAAACCCTAAACCCTAATCTAAACCAGGAGGCCCGAATCGGTTTACCGTCGACTTCTCCGCGGATGGAGAAAGCCTCCGCTAAAGGAAGGAGAGTACTTGGAGAGTCGGGGGACTTAGTAACTGGTTACTTTAGGGACTTATATGTACCATAATCCCAATTAGGGTACTTATAAGTCTACTTACTAGCTACTTACTAAGTCCCCTGACCCCCCAACTAGTCTGGGCAGGTTGCTCCCACATACATGGGCACTTCTCAGCATCGATCCCCAATCTCAGCCTGATCTGCAACTGCGACCCCGGATCCTCAATCCTGCAATATGGGAGTTTCCGAAAATTAGGGGTACCTTAGGGTTCCTTTAAAAGGGTTATAAGGGTACTATAAGAGTTCCTTTAAAGGGCTCTATAAGGGTTTATAGAGTTTCCGACAATCGGGGGAACCTTAGTTTGGGGTCCTTATAATATGGATCCTACTATTTAGGGTACTATATGAGGGTCCCTGTTTTCGGAAACTCCCAGATCCTCAAGGTTTATGTTTGTCGGACACAGCATGACGGAATTCTGGCATATCATGCCCCACGATAAGCACCTTCTTGCGTGGGCCCCACATAAACCTAAACCTTGAATATCCACACGGCCCCAAACCTTAGAAACATTGAGGGCCCCCGTCAGCCTAGGAGTGGGAGCACACTGGGCGGCTGACCGCGAAGAGTGGCGTTTGCCACTACGCCGGAAACTCCTCGATGACCAGACATGTCTTCACAGGGTTCAGGGTTCGGCTCTAGGGTTTGGGGTTCGGCTTTAGGGTTTAGGGTTTGGGGCCTAGTATAGGGGGCCGAAATGATTACTGATAATGTTCCCTCTGGTTCTTATCATGGTTGAAGTATATATGGGCCCAAAACCCTATGCTAATTAGTAAGGCCCCCCAGTACATAAAACCCTAGAGATCCCTTGTATTATGGAGCACTTTAAAGGAATCCTTTAAAGGGAGCCCTATTCAAATTATTCAGGCCCCTACCCTAAGGGTCCAAAGGATCCTATAAATAGGTACTCGGGTTTGGGATAGTAGTTGTGTAGGTTACCATTCTTGAGAGTATATGATAATTGGGTACTTCGGTTGATGATATAAATCCTGCATGACCCATCATAAGGACTCTACCATAATTCCCATAGTTTAGGGTCCTTAAGGTAATGCAGGATTTATATCATCAACCGTTAGACCCTTAGGGCTACATTACGGTTCAAGGTTCATGGTATCGGGCCAAGGACTCGGGAACGGGGAGCTGCTGCCGTTCTGCGAAAAGCAGCGTGCAGACGATACCCTGAACCCTAGGATGCCCAATAGTGGTCCCTTTTAGGGGACCTATAAGGGTTGCTATAAGGGTACTATAAGGGCGTTCATCAGGGTTACGGGACTAGGATGCCCAATAGTACCCCTATTCCCCTTTTATTGTCCTAGGTTCCTCATAAAGGTACCCAATACCAAAAAGGGAGCCCTTCTTATTCCTAGGTTGCTGGGCATCCTAGTAAACGGCCCGAAACCTTCCCTTCATCACCCTACTTGAAAGCCCTTTTGACTTAGTAAGTAGGGTTAGTAAGGTGGGTTATGGGGATTATAATAGGGTTTACAGGGGGTACTAAGTAGACTTACTAAGTCAAAAGGGCCTCCAAGTAAGGGTCCATGTACCCACTGAAAGTAGATAATTCGAGCCACAGGAATTTCCGAAACTGTCAAGGAATCGACTGCAACGCCTTCTGCAATCTGGCAACGAACTTCGGCGGAAAGCTCTGCGAGTACCTGAAGGCGATACTGTCCAGATGTAAAGAAAAGTCAGAGATATGGATATTAGGGATGTTCTACAGGGAGCCATGAGGTTTTTCTGTCAAGGATTTCAGGGATTAGGGTTTGGGGTGTGGGAATTTCGGGGCTCAAGAATTTGCAGTTTGAGGGTTTTGAACAGGATGACGGTTAAGGGCTTATAGGGTCTTTCAGATTTAGAGTGTAGAGTTGTTGTTGGAGTTTTTCCTTCGGGCCGCCACCCATACCTCAATTTTGTAACTTGTGTGTGTGTGTGTGTTTTTCCTTACGCCCTGCCCATAGGCCCCAAAGTAGTTCCTTTTTGGGATTACCTTATAGAATTTTATATATGAGCCCCAAAAAGGAACTACTTTGGGGCCTTTGGGTGAACCCTCGCCTTCTGCTGGCAGTTTTGGGCGTGAGGCTGAGGAGTTTTCAAGTCTCGGCAGCTCCGGTCTTGAGTTACGAGGGCAGTTAATTTTCCCTAAGGCTCCATGTGCCCATATAGTATATACTTAGGCCTTAAAGTACCTATATAGGGTCTACTTTGGGGCTTAAGTATCTACTATAACGGTCCATGGAGCCTTTGGGCTTTTTTATTGGGTGAGGAAAAGGTCTCTCCAGGCTCTGCAGGGATTTGTTGTGCTTTGTGAGATCTTCCACAACTTGGAGGGTCGGGGGACTTAGTAACTGGTTATTTTAGGGACTTATAACTTATAAGTACCATATCCCAATTAGGGTCCCTTTTAGGGTACTTATCAGTCTACTTACTAACTACTTACTAAGTCCCCCGACCCCCCAAGAAGGCTCCAAATAGCCCAAAGTATGCAGCATTGACAGCCTTTAGGCCCCAAGGTAGGTACTCTTTGCATACTTGGAATCTTAGGGATTTGCAAGTTTAACACGAGTCTAGGGTCAAAAACCATAAATCGACCCCCCCCCCCCCTGCTCAAAGCGTCGACCTTCCTAGGCCGAAAAACATCCACGGTGCCGGGCAGGTATTAGTTATATATTCAATATTCAATATTATATCTTTTATATATATATATATATATATATATATATGATATCGAGTATTAAACGGTCCTGAGTCCTATCCGATTACGTCTCGAACCCTCAACGCCGAGCTCCGTTTGCCGCAGGTCCTGGGCATTCTAATTCTCGGAGCGACTGAGTTGCACAAGGTTTGACGAGGATTTCGTAACCTTTCACCCGAAGTACCTATGTTTTGGATCGTCTTGAACTGCAGACATCAGGTCTGTATGGCCAAGGCTGACGAAACATAATAGGCAGGCCTTAAGCTGCGTAACCTGACGCCCCAAACATTGCGGAGTGTAGTATAGAGGTCGGAGCATCTAGTAAGAGTAGCGCCTCCACCCGCAATGCCTCGGCAGTTGGAGTAGCATATGTCAGGTACACCTGCAACCAGGTTCGGAATTTGCTTTGGTGGCTTGCGCATTGTCCTTTTTTTCGAGCTTGAAGGTCTCATGCCTGGAGGATTGCTCACCCACCGGATGGTCTGACTCAAAAATCCCGAAGCCCTAAACTACGATCCCGCTGTTAAGCGGATGCTTGTACCCAGGGGCCCCAAAGTAGTTCCTTTTTGGGTAGTATATGAGAGTCCCTAACCAAAAAAGAGGACAAACCCAAAAAGGAACTACTTTGGGGCCCCCGGGTAGAAGGGCGACTCGGTCGGGGGTTTGGGTTTCGAAGCGCGGGCTAAGAGCTGCCGGTCCCAGTTCGAAGAGTTTGGTGGTTGCCTGGCGTTTTTTGACTAGGCCACAAAGGTTTAGGATTTAGGGTTTTAGGGTTTAGGGTTTAGGCACATGCCTTCAAATCAAGGGCTGCGGCGAAACATTGTATATCTGTCGTGCAGAGTCTCTGAAGTAGCCACGGTGCTGTCGCCATAGGGTGGGAACGCTT